TTTGTGTGTGTATTCGCGCGTGTGTGTGTGTGTGTGTGTGTGTGTGTGTGTGTGTGTGTGTGTGTGTGTGTGTGTGTGTGTGTGTGAGACAGAGATCAAGGACGACGCCTGCGGAGGAGTTTGTGATGAGAACGCCAAGTAGGTTCTATTGATGTGCGTGCGTGTGTTTTTACCGCCATTTTGCTTCGGATATTTCCGGTCAGTGGACTCTCAGTGACCTGGCATCTTGGGACCTGGAGTTTTGGGGAATAAACAAAAAAAACTAGCAAGCGATGACTGATAGCGCAGTTGTAAGTTGGACACTTGTCTCATTGTTGCATCAATAAGTCGAAATGATTTTAAAAAGGAATGGCACGGTGCTTGAGCGGTTGGCCTGTCCACCTCACACTTCTGAGAGGGGAGCGCGGGGGGGGCTCAAATGTGGGCAGCGGTCTTCTTGCGTGGAGTTCGCATGTGGGCCAGAGTAGCTGTACAAGAGCCATGCACATGTGACAGGTTCAGAATGGAGGGATGATGATGATGATGATGATGATGATGATGATGATGGTGGTGGTGGACATTTTTCCAAATGCTGCCCATCGTTGCAGCTGCATCACGGGGCCGCAGGGAAGCGCCCCCGCCTGCGTGTGCGTCGCCGGCTACAAGGGCAACGGCACCGTCTGCAAAGGTAACGCACTCTTCTCCATCGATGACTTTCTCTTGTACGACTGCGACTTCGACGACTATACTTCTACTTTTACTCCTGCTACTCCAACTCCATCTTCGACAACTTTTCTCTGTATTACCTCTGCTCCCACTACTACTTTCTTCTGCCACTTTTAGCTCTCTTACTTCGAGCTACTTCTACTAGTCTAAATTCTTGTGCTACAGTACTTGTACTACGTCCACAACCGTTTCTACATCTTCTACTTCTTCTTTCCTTATTTCTCCTTCTTCTGCCAGTACTGCTTGTCCTTCCTGTACTCATGAGCGCGCGTGTCCCTCAGAGGTGGACCTGTGCGGCCTTTCCAACGGCGGCTGCTCGCCATTCGCCACCTGCGCCAAAGTGTCGGCGGGCGTGCGTACCTGCACCTGCAACACCGGCTACACGGGTGACGGCGTGGTCTGCCTGGGTAAGTGACGCCATCGATGTACATACACGCTTCCTGCCCACCGCTCGGGATATCGGGCTCAGCTGTGAGACGAGCCTCAAATGCACGCTAACCTTTACAGGTCAACTTCATTTGATCGTGTGTGACCTTTTTCAGAGGTGGACGGCTGCCTGGTCAACAACGGAGGCTGCCACAAGTCGGCCGACTGCATCAGAACAGGAGCCGACACCGTAAGACCGCGGCTTATTTTGATGATGTCATGTCTCGGTGGACCGCGTTGGCCAATCAATCAGTGAAGCCAATCACGGGCTGCACTGCGGTTGGAAGGCACGTTTGACCTTTCCAGACTAACTTATCAAACTTGATGCTCCCAAAAACATTTACAAGTGCGCCTTGAGAAACGAGTGACCAGACCGATGAATTTTTTTGATTTGTGAGCTTCAATTTGGGATGCAAGCGTGGCATGGTGGCAGGTGACACAGCGCACGTCACAATAAGATTAGAAGATATTCTTAAGAAGAGTAGAAAACATCCCTAAAGCTAATGCTAGCTTAATGCTAACATAAAATGGGAAACCCCATACGCACACGGGCTAACAGTTAGCATCTATGTGGCAGTGTTGTTACACTTTAAGCAACAAAAACAGCAATAAATGGAGAGATATAATATAACAATACTCACTGCCATATTTTTATTGTCTGCGGAAAACGTTTTATATTGGTGCCGTACTGAGAAGCCGAGAGAGGGGCTGAGAGTCCAGTTCAGTAGATTCGTATGTGGGGGAATAAAATTCTTCAGTGTGACGCAAAATCATTGCGTTCTCGGTGAGGTTTTCCTGAAATAAAAAGCACACCTATCCAGAAGAATGCCCATCACTCTCATAATCATGGCCACCCCATGTCACCCCTTAGCTCCGCCCCTGTCCGGGCGTCTGCCTTACACTGCCCCCGGGTGCCCTCGGTGTGTAAACCGAAACGAGCAGCCCAACTTGTGACGGAAAATCTTTCATTCTTTACGTCCTGTCCAATGACATCATTACTTTTGGATGATGACTAAAAAACGTTGGTCAGCCTGACTCGATTGATTTGATCGGCATTTTTGGGCGGGCTTCCCCAGGTGGCGTGCAGATGTCAGATGGGCTTCCAAGGGAACGGCAGGTTCTGTTACCCCAGCAACCCCTGCAGAACCGTACGTCTGCCGTCACTTCTTTGTTGGTTTGATGAAAACTGTCGATGTATTTTTGTGTATATTTTTTTGACTGTATATCTGTGCGTGCAGAACAACGGCGGCTGCAGCAAATATGCCCGCTGTGAGTATTTGGGTCTGGGCCAGAGGAACTGCTCCTGCCTCCGAGACCACGTGGGCGACGGCTTCGATTGCCGCGGGACCACCAACGCTGTGAGTCACATGACCCAGAAGCCCCCCCCCATCCCAAGCCTCACTGCCATCACATTTTTTGATTTTGTTGTCGTCATCACACAGGAGGTGTTTCGAAACCCAGAAAACGCATTGCTCCGTTACATGCTCTCTGTGAGTTGAATATGGAAAAAAAAAAAATACCCCGCTAACTTGACACACAAGTTCTCCAACATGTTGGGCTTTTTTTTTTTTTTTTTTTTTTTTTGTGCTTATATTTTGTCCAGAAGTCAGATGCTCGTGGTCTTTACGGCGACGGGCCGTTCACCGTCTTCGTCCCCGTCGACAACAACGAATCGTATAACACTGTGTGTAATAACAGCCGCCATCTTGAGTCTGTCCTTTCTCGTGGTTCCCTCCAAGGTCTGCGGTCGTCTGGGGCCAAGAGAAGATGAATGTATCATTCATCCGATATTAATAATTATTGTTTACCTGTTAATAAACAGGAACAAATAATCACACATTAAATTGCATCATGAAGGCAAAAATAAAAAAATTGCAGTTATTATTTTTCTAAATTGTTCAGCCCTCGTAAGCACTCTGAGCTAACTGAGCTATATCAAAAGTTGCTGAAGATGAAAATCAAAGTGTTTTTTTTTTTCCTGAAAAAAAAGCTGTGTATGTTCAAATTTGAGAACTTTAGGATGCTGGAACTTGGAGGCGCCACTTTCATTTGGACTTCAAATCCAAATTATTATTCTGTTATAATTCGTGTGTGTGTCTGTGTGTGTGCGTGCGCGTCCGCGCATGTGTGTTTGCATTTTCTGGATGACCGTGTGCTTGGTGTGACTGTGTGTTTGTTGGATATGAGCTCATGCATGTTTCTATGCATTCTTTGCGTGTTTCTGTGTGTTGGTGTGTGCACGCAGGTTAATGAGTGGAAGTTGTTTGGGCGTCTGAATGATCTGGTGCGGTACCACATCGTTGCCTGCGAGAAGTTGACTTTGAACGACCTCCAAAGCACCCAGCAGGCTGTCTCCACGTCCGGATACACGCTCAAATTCAGTCTGCAGCAGGTCTCTGTCTTTCAAACACACACACACACACACACACACACACACACACACACACACA